AATTTTAGTACTTTATAAACTGAGTCAAAATATTTCAAGTTATATAAACATTTCAAAATTCAAATAGACCTTAACAGAGTCAACCTTTTTTGCTAACAGGGCAACTTCTCCAACCCAATCTCATCAATTCTACAAAACTCTTTGGACAAAAAAAATCCTTATAAAACTCGGATCGCACTAAAAGCTAGAAGTGAGAAAATTCGAAAAATGAAAAATTGATTCAAAATTATATTGTTCAATTTGGATTTTTTTTATTTGATTTGGATTAAATTTAGATATTAAATGCATATATTATGTTTGGATCAAAAACTAAAAAATTAAAAAAAATTAAATCAAACTGATATATTTTTATTAATTTTTATATATTTTTTAAATTTTATAAAATAAAAATAATTATTTTATATTTAAATCTATTTAAATATATTAAAAATTATATTAAAATAATTGTCATAACATATAGATTTGTAGACCTATAACTACACATAACAGAGGAGTTGTCACCACTTTTTTTATTAAGGTGTGATTACATCTAATGAATTTATCCTTTAAAAGATGTCATAAGCTTAATTAAGGGTTCCTAAAAGAATAAGTTTTAGTCTGTATTTCAAAATAGGGTTTGGGAGTTCAGTTATATGTGAAAAATGTTATAGCACCTCCACAATACCTATCTTAAGATAGTATCATCTAATTTTAAATTATCTTAACAATCATCTTGATTTTAATGATATTTTATTTTAATGTTTAAATATTAAAAATCATTCTTAAGATTTTTTTCGTCAATTTGATAGAATTCTTAAAAATACTTCTTTACTTCAAGAGTATTCAAGAATCTCATTTATTTTTTTGAAGAGGCTTTGTTGTTGAAAAAAATTTAATCAATTATTTTTATTAAAATTTGCTTTATTGAAAATATATTTAATTCTTCTACCATTTGGGTCAAAATTAGAAACATTTTCTCACCTAAAAATGTCTTAGATAATTATCAATTTACGATTACTAAAAGGGTGTTTGGTTCGCAAAATCTTAGATTTTGAGAAAAAATGTGATTCTCGAGAAAGCACGATACTCGGGGTTTTCTTCTATTTTTAAGGCATCTTGTATTTAGATTCACTCATTTTATTAGAGGGAATCCACATATATTAATTTTTGAATAATTACCATAAGCTTCTTGACATATATGATGGTAACTTTTTATTAACTTTTATTAATAATAAATACCTAAAGGACAAATGATGCTTTTAATAGCAAAAAAAGATATATTTTATTTTATTGCTATTTTTATTTATAAAATACCATTAATAAAAAATTAAGGATTATTTAAGGCATTTCTAGTTGGAAAATACCTTAAATAATCTTTTTTATTTTTTAAAAAGGGATTATTTAAATAATCTCTTTCATTACTTATAAGATTTAAGAGATAAAATATAAAAAACTGAAATAGTTAAGTCGGTTAGAGCATATAGTTATTAACTATAAGGTCATAGATTTGAGTCTTCTTTCTTGTGCTTTAATGTTTTTGAAGGGCATATTTAAGGCATTTTTTTTTTTTATAAAAAATGCTTTAAATAATACTTTTCAATTTTTTGAAGGATATTATTTAATACGTTTTTTACAAAAAATACCTTAAATAATTCTTTTAATTACTTATAAGATTTAAAAGATAAAATATATATAAACTAGAGTTGCTTAGTAAGTTAGAGCATATAGCTATTAATCATAAGGTTTTAAGTTCAACCCTTCTCTTTTAATGCTTATTTTTTGGGATTACTTATAAGATTTTTTTTTTAGATTATTTAAGGTGTTTCTAGCTATAAAACATTTTAAATAATGTTAATCAATTTTTAATGGATTATTTAAGGTATTTTTAGCTAGAAAACATCTTAAATAATCTTTTAAAAAATTGATCAGCATTATTTAAAGTATTTTTCATGTCAAACATCATTAATTACAATATAAAAAAATTTTAGTAGTAAAAACCTATAACTGACTCACAATCACTTTCAGATATGCTTTTTTAAATGCTAATGGCTATTTCATAATTTTGTATTCAAGTCAAATTTGAAAATAACGTAACTTTTCTCACCAGAATCTTAAAATACCATAGGGAGATGTGGGTTTTTTATTTCAAAACTTTAGGTACTATTGAAAATCTATTATTTTCCCCTAGAATTGAATTACCTTAAACTAAACATTGGAATCAAATAATCATTAATAAGATTCTATGAGAAAATGCATGAATTCCTTCGAACCAAATGCCCTCTTAGAATTTTATCTTCAAAATTTATTTTTTATTTTACAAATTTCATTTCTAAATTTTTATCATTTGAGTTTATTTAAAAATACTTTACAAATTTCATTTCTAAATTCTCTATCATTTGGGTTAAATTTAGAACCTAACCTCTTATTATTCGTCATTTGTTTCTTAATCCTTAGAAAGAAAATAATATGACAATTATTTTTTAAATTTGCTCTAAATTCTTTTACTATTTAGGTTGAACCTAGAAAAAAACCTTTCACCCAGAAACCTCATAGAAGTTCAGCCATTTGTCATTTTTCTTGAGATTTTATCATTGGATAATTGTTAAATATTTTCATACTAAAATTTTTTAAAGTTAGTTTTATATTTTTATATTTTTTATATTTGAGAAAGAATAAAATTGTTTTTATTAAAATTTCATCTAAATTATTCCACAATTTGAGTTAAATTTAGAGAAATTTCTTACTTAGAGATTTCTTCAAAAATTTAATATTTGAAATTTCTATGAATCTTATAATTTGAATAATTATTAATTCATTTCCAAGAATTTTATTAAATTTATTAAACTTTTTTATTTTTTTGAAAATTAAAAATAAATATTAATTATTGTTACTAAAATTTTATCTAAACTATTCCTTCATTTAGGTTGAATTTAGAAAAAATTTCTCACCTAAAGATTTTGTAAAAATTAACCATTTATAATTTCTAAAAATCTCATCATTAGATAATTATTATTTATTCTCAAAATTTTATTAAAATTTTATTTTATATTTTAATTTCAAATAACTTCCTAATAATTTTTTCTAAAAACTTAATCAGGCAAAAATATTTTTAAAATAAACAAATAAAACAAAATAAATAATAAAAATTATATATACAAAAAAAAGGGGCTTGGCTAGGCTTGGGAAACGGCTCGGTTGAAGGAATAGAAGCCGACTTGGAAAGACTTGGATCTTGGCTCGGCTTAGTGGCGCAGCTTCGCAGCTCTATGTTGAATTTGCAGAACAGGTATGGGTCTCAAATGCGAACTTCGGATCCAAATCCTGGTTGAGGCGAGGGTTTTTTTTCACTTAATTGAAACGAAACGTTCATGCTGCGATCAGAGCTAAAAATTTTCTTCTTCTTTCATTTCTTCTGCCCAGCTTTTCTCTCCAATTTTATTCTCCTCCCTCTCTCTATAGGAAATAAATGAACATCAATCCTATTTTTCAAATTCCAGTCAATACGCAACCGCCGGTCGAGTTCATTCAAGCCCAAAGCTTTAGTGTCGCTTTCTCTCAGCCTTCTTGCCTCAAATCTGAGGTTGCTTTCTTGGAAATCGTCCTCAACCGGTCCTGATCTAAAGCGAAAAACTACAGTCTTCCTCCACTGTTTCCATTCCTTTTCGCTGTCCGATCATTCTAGGTTTTCATTATATTATTTCCCTTACTAATCTTCACACTTCCACCATTACAGATCTCCTAAAACTCAATTACCGTCGTGAACCGTGAACCGTGAACCGTGAACCATTTACACTATCGCGGCTGGAGGTGCTCCTTTTTTTTTTCTTTTTTCTTTCTTTTGGTTTGATTCCTTGTTTTTTATTTTACTTCGTTTCTTCCTTTGATTCGCTTTGTTTGTGTGTAGGTTTTTTGTGGAGAAAGGATTTGGTTGTACTCAGTCCTGGCAATGACGTAGATGGTGGTTCAGAGATGATAAAATTGTTGTTTGTTTCTTGAGGATTGGATTTATTTTCTATTTGCAAGGTTCATAGCTTCAAGTAGTGGCTGTTTGGTTGAATTTGTGGTAGGCGTGAGTTGTTAGTGATTATGCACGATGAATGCCCTAGAAAGTAGTATGGCTGGAAAGTTTGATTTAAAATGTTTCAGGTTTATTGAAACAGGAAATTTTCATTTGCCTTTTTCTATTGTGTCTGTGTATTGCGATTGAATCTCGTTGGCTGAAAGATTCGAACTTCTTGTATTTAAGGAATTCTATTTGGGTTGATTGTATCTAGTTCCCGTTGTACTTCCTATCATAAAAAGTCTAAAATGGAAAAAGGAATGGTAGTGTTTGGCTTATTAGCTTCCTTGATTGGTGATGGTAGTGCGATGGCAGTGAAGGGTGAGGGTGGTGTCCAAATTAGCTATTCATTCTCTTCTTGTTTTCTGGTGATTGCTGTGTGTTTCTCTATTGCTTTCTAAGTAATTTTGCCCCCTAATTCGTGTCTTTTCTCCTTGATTTTGTGTGTAATCATAGGGCAAGTTAGGGAAATTTCAGTTTAAATCAAACTCAGCAATTTGAAACTGAAAATTATTAATTCAACAAAGCCAATTTTTTATTTTTCCTTTTGATTTTTTTATTTTTATTTTGAAATAATCAGATAAATTAAAAATAATTAACAGATAAAGAAAAGATAATAAAAGAAAGATAATAAATCAGATAATATATATATATAGACAAATAAAACAAAAAATCACATAAAAATCATTGTACTTTGGATAAATCCGAGCTTAATCAATTTTGGGTCTTTGTGTCGGAAATTATATTGAACCCAATTAATTTAAATCTCAAACCAAACGAATTGTCTACAATAACATATAAAAATGAAATAAATTAGATTTAGAAAACCATTAAATTAAATTAAATCAATAAAATTTAATTATAATCGAATCGATTTTAAAAAATTAATTAAAATCTAAATCAAAATTTAAAATTTATGATATTATAATTGATAAAAAAATCAAATAAGGACAGAAATGAAAACCCAAAATTTCCACAAAGCTCGCACTTGTAACAAAATTGACAAGTGCCAAAGTGACCCAAAGAAACCAACAGTGAACCCCATCATCCGCCGCCTCGCCTATCTTGGAAACCTCATTTCCCAAAATTTCCCATTTTTTGTACTGAAAAACAAAAAGAGAGAAACAAAAAAAAAAAAGGGCAATCGCTAGCCAGAAGGCGTGGCGTGACCTGAGATCAGAAAAAAAAAAACCTAAAGTCTTTGAATTCAGAAATATGTGGAGAAGGCTACTAAATTCACAGCTCAAAACCCTAGCCACAGCTCGATGCCGATCAGCTTGTAAAACGGCCCCACTTCGATTCAAATCTCTCATTTCTCCATCGCCTTCCGCTTCTCTCCTCAGTCGCCACTTCTCCTCGGAGTCAGGTAACCCTAATTTCCTGAAATCCTCGTCAACGAGTCATTTTGATTTCAAGCTTTGCATCCATTAGATAGCCTTTTAAATATTCATTAACTTCTATATGAATATTTTAGATCATTGGTTAATGTTCTTCGAAATTATTAAAGGAGATTAAAGTTAAATTTAATTTTGTTCGAAATTAATATTGTTCGTTGGCATAGCCGATATTGGTTCTTTATTTTTGTTGTGGACTGGTTTGGCTTGTGTAGTGGATACTGCTGTAAAGAAGAGGGTTGAGAATGTAATGCCTATCGCCACTGGTCATGAGCGCGAGGAGCTTGAAGTTGAGCTTGAGGTGATTTTTCCTCTTCCGCCGTCTCTCTGTTTGGTTTTAAAACGTGAGAACTTTCTTGTGATGTTATTGTTCTTCGATTGAAGATTTCAATTGTCGACTATATTGTTCTATGCGTTATGGCTAAATGATTTCAATTGTCGGCTATATTGTTCTATGCGTTATGGCTAAATCTCATTTAGTTTATGGGCTGGTGCTTTCTCATTCTGATATTTCTTTTTTGCTTTATTTTATTTAGGGAAAGAAAATCCTTGAAGATTTTAACAATCCTGTTGGTCCTTTTGGCACAAAGGTTAGTACGGTTTGCAATGTCTTTCATAGTCTATTACAATTGGAGAACTCATATCTGACCACGTGTTTATCATCTTATATGGAAGCAAAGATAGATGGTGTCTGACCCTTTTATTTTTTTGTTAAAAATTTACCATGTTTTTCTTGCATTCATTCCTTTTTCTGTTTGTATGGCTTCAAGTGCTTGGATTTTTTTTGCACTTCTATTTAAATGATTTTCATTTTTCCTGATGTTGATATATCCTGTAACTATTATTATCCTTAGATTGTCAATTTGATGTTTCATAATGTAACTAAAAATGTATACCAAAAGGTGTTACCAGGTGCATTATTTGGTAATGTTTCCACATCTCTCTTCAATGTTATTAACTAGTTGGAATTGCCCAGTGATTTGTTCCTGTTTTTTGTTAGCATTTGTGTTATCTTTTGGCTTTTAATTCATTTTTGGATTCAAGTAAAGAATATTCCCAACTTTTGATATAACTTAAACAAGTTCTTAGGTTTACTTTTCCTCAAGTAAGGGGTTCTTTTTTCTTTCTTTCTTTCTTTCTTTCTTCAGCATGTCCTCTCATCGGTGCCCAGTGGGCTTCTGGTCACTAGTACACTAGGCCTGATGGGAAGGGCATGTTCAATTGTGAACCTTCACCCTCCATTGAGAGGTAACAATTCATTTGCCAAACCCATGCTGTTAAATATTATATTTTTCAACAACTTTAATATGGTTGGTTTAATTTTGCTTCCTTAGTCATAGTTCTACCACTTCTTGGAAATACTAGAATATTATAGATATAATACATGGTGGAGAAAGAAAATTTGTTTCTATACTCAATGCGTTGTTTTCTGAATGTGTTAAATTTGTTTTGAACGCAATTTTTTTCTTCTATATTGATTTACTTCAATGTTTATCCATTTATGTTGAATCATGGCTAACTGATAATCTTCTTTTGTAAATTTATTGTTTTGAGTTTGGACCTCTATTTTATGGTGATAACCTAAGAAGCACAGACAAACGGGAAACCCCTGCGTACTGGTGTCGTATTGGTGTCTGACATGGACACACCATCGACATGGCCAAATACTTACGGGACACATGGTCTTGACATGGTCAAGACACATTGGACGCAGACAGACGGACATGGGATGAAAATTTTTTTGCCTAAATATTTCTCTGAACAGAGAATCATAAAGCCCACACCGAAAATTAATCCAATCTCCGATCAATTAAGAGAACACTAAGTCAGGCAGCTACAATCAAATCACAAAACCAAACAAAAAAAGAAGTAAATTTCTCACTCAATAATCTGTTGAATTCCTGAGAGTGATGACACTAAGGCAGGAGGCAGGAAGCAACTTAGACAACCACAAATCTAGACCATCCAAAAAAGAGTCAGAGTTAGTGAAATGATGGCAGAGGAGGGGCGGAAGCATTCGGTAGGACGAAAATTGGAGAAAAAATAGAGTGAGAGAAAGGATCTGCGAGTAAGGAGATATTTAAATCTCAAAAATAATTTTACTTAATATTTAGTACTTATTTAAATCTAAAACAAATTACTTAATATTAATATATAATATGTTTACATTAATAGTTATGAAAAGTATTAATATTTAGATTTATATCCCATAATTTTACATAAAAAATATATAAAAATAATTTTTTTGCCATGTCTTTCTGTGTCCGTGTTCTTATTTTTTAAAAATTGCAGTGTCATCGAGTCTGTGTTGTGTTGTACTTGTATTACTTGTCTGTGTCCATGCTTCATAGGTGATAACATGGTTTTTTCTCTTTCTTTTTTTTTGTGTGTTGGAAACCAGAAATATTGACCTTTATGAAATCATAAGGGTGATGTCATTACTTGACTTTTGATGCTAGAAGTGATTTTATCTGCTTGTAGGAAGCCCCTGCTGTTATCAAGTCCTACTATGATAAGAGAATAGTTGGATGCCCAGGTGGTGAAGGGGGTATGTTTCTTTCATCAATTCTCTGTTTCTGCTCTTCTAAGCTCTAAGTATGCTTTTTCTTGATTTGTACAAAATTGAGTCATTCTGCTTGAACTAATACTAGAGCTTATTTGACTATTTAAAAACTGCAGAGGATGAGCATGATGTTGTCTGGTTTTGGCTGGAGAAAGGCAAGCCACATGAGTGCCCAGTTTGCTCACAGTATTTTGTGGTAAGTAGATATCTTGAAATAGAAAACATTCATTCCTTATTTCCTAATGTTGAGTAGATGTATTTGAGCTCACATCTAAATGTCAATTTCTTTGCGTTCATTGGATCCGAATCCAGTTTAGATATTTCTGTTAGCCCACACATGGATTCACCTAAAACTCTGAAGATTTGAGTTAATTGTTAATGATCTGGGGTGTTTTGGAACAAATAAACAGTGTTAGTTTATTCCCAGGCAAGCCTTGTGGGCTCTAGTCAACAGCCTGATTGACCAACCAGTTTATGCAATAAATAGCTTACTTACATGGATGTTACATTGGTCATCTTGGTTCTGATTACTTCGTCTGTAACTCTGTAAATGTGATCAGGGAATGCTACTAACAATCATCTATCAGATTCAGCTGCAAATGTTGAGCTATAAGATATTTTATAATTTTTCTACACCTTCCCTGAAGGACATAATTGAAACTACAATGACATTGCTGTCTGTATTGATTTTTACTGCCCAAAGACCAAGGTCTGATTTTGAGTTCTACATGAATAGATTTAAGGTTGGGGACATAATGCCATGACTAAAATGAGTCGTGCGGACTTTAAGGTTGACAGACAGTTCATCCCATACCCTTAGGCTACTGCCCTGTGATTCAAGTATATAACATGAATGAAGTCGCATACAGCCTATATATATATATATATATTTAACCTATACAGAAGTACTACTCGGTTGTTTCCAGCATTTTAGGATTTTCTTAATTATTTGTGTTGATGTTTGGCAGCTGGAAGTTGTGGGCTCTGGAGGACCTCCAGATGGACATGGTGACGAAAATGATCATCATTAGTTGCCCCTTTCAGTTTTTCCTATTGGAATAAAATTGGAGTAAGATGGAATGATGTCCGGTATACAGTGCACCTTCAAATGTTAAAAAAAGTTTTATGTCATGTTTGGTTTTTAGTTGGCCCTCGGCTACTGTGGCTGTTGCACTGGAAACATTTGAGATGGTATCGCCTTTTTTTTTTTTTTTTGGTGGTACTTTTAGACACAGGGTGGTCATATTTTTGAACTATGGATCTTTTTAGGTTTGAATTCAAAGCGTTGCCAAATAATATATGGCTACCTTTCCATTCTTTCATGAAACATCCTGGTGTTAAAGTTTTGAAGGAACCTTATTAACTTAGAACACTACCAGTTTCAGTTTGTATTTTATTTTAATTAGCTGGTTTAGTCAACCAAAGATCTCACAGTATTACCCATGATATTTCGACGGTTAGTTCAATCTTCAAATTCCCTTTTGACAGTTTGGAATAGGGACTTTTCCTTTCCTGCAGAGGAGGTAGGTTTGAGTGTCATTGCACAACATTTTAGTACATGCTCAGATGTCATCAGGCTCAAAATTATATTTTAGATATTAACTAATAATATTAATTCATCTAGATATTGAGCGATGAAAGAAAGAGGAAGAAATTGTTTCTTCTATCAAACAACTCGAGGCTTTTTTAAATTCTTTCCCATTTTTCTTCTCCTATAGAAACAGTCTAAAAACTAAGGAGGTAACTAACACACTTTCTTGATCATCTTTTCCTCTTAATTTTTTTTATTAAGTAGCATACACAATTTCCAGCTAAAAACAACAAATCGAAGCCAAAAAGAGGGACAGGGCGAAAATGAAAAGTCAAGAAAGTGATACATATACTTGGACGGTTGGACCCAATATATATATATATATCGTTTACATATAAAAGTGTCAATTTTAAAAATATTAATAGTAATCAATTTAAATATTTTTATAATTTTTTAAATTAGTAAATTTTTCCTTAAATATTTAATTTTTATTAATTTATTTAAATTTAATTTAAATCAACTAAAATTAAAAATAGAGTTTATATGAAATTAAACTACTTAACATTTTAAAAATTTAATTCAAAACTTGTTAAAAGTGATAAACTAGAATAACCTTAGTAATTTTTTTTATAAATTTTAATTTAAATAAAATTTTTATTATTAGACTCCTTTTTTTATATACTTAGACTAAAAAATGCTAAGAATAATTGACTAAAATACCATTAATGAAATTTTAATTTAAAAAATATTAAAAGTGATTGATTAAAATATCATTAATAAAATTTTAAAAAATTTAAATTTAAATGACTTTATTTCTATTATTAGTTGTCATTTTCACAAATAGAATGACTTTTCACATTAAATGAAAATACAAATAAAACGACATCAAAGCTTGATGGGCGTAGGAATAAAATAATTATAGGTAATTTGTTTCTTTAGTTGTTGTAAAAACAATTGTCTATGTAATTTATGTTGATATATAAATTCATTAAAAATAATCATAATTAAGTCATTTAAGCATATTTGTATTTTTTTAATTTTTTGTTTTAATATATTAATTATATATATGTTAATGATTTTATTATTTATATGTTTTATAACTTGATTATCTGATTATTAATAACATAATTAAACCTTTTTATTCTCTTGAAATAATTCTTTAATATATCATTCTTATAGTTTAGTTTGATCTCTATAATTAATTTTTTTTTTGTATTTTTTTCTCTAGAATTTTTTAATTCTTATTCACATTAACAAAAACTATTATCAAATCAAATGTAAATCAATTGCACGCACTCCACTAACAATTAGTATTATTTGATTCATTGAACACTTTAATTAGACTTCTCACCTATAGAATTAGACGACTTAGGAGGTGATCGAGTTACTAGTAGTTTAGAATTGAATACCGTCCAATTATCATAAGAAATTTTCACCTAAATTAAAACAATAATTGATTTAATTTTCTCTCAACTTTATCTTAATATGCATACATATATGATTCATTTATATTTCAAAATTATTTAACATTTTTCAATTGTATTAAATTACTCGCTTTTATTAAGTCAATCAGGTGGTTGAATGATCTAATATGAATTATTTTTTAAAAAAAATTATCAAGTAAAGTAAAAATAATTGATCTTTTTGAATTCTTTCAATGTGTGACAAAATTCATTATAACTATCATTTCATTGTATTTATACCAAAGTTACATTCATTCATCAAAATTTATATTGTTAATGCAAGAAATAAAATCAGTATAAATTGTATAGGTATTACATAAGAAGTTCGTTATCTTATAATTTAGAATTTCTAAAGAAAACATGACAAATATCAAGGTTAGGAATTTATTTTATTTTTATTTTTTAAAATTATGTATTTTAATATTTGTATATAATAAAAATTTTAAATAAAAAAAAATTAAGCTTTCAATTGATATAATGTATAATTACATTCAATTTATGGAAGCACCAATAAAATATTATTCTAAGCAGAAAAATGAGATGAAAGATTGGTTGGTTATATGCACATACCTCCATCTTCTCCCTATAACAAAGAAATTTAGTGCTATATAATATTTCAATGAAAAATATGCATCTATTGATTTCACAATTTTTAGGATTAATATAAAATTCTTTTATGTGAAAAAATATTATATACTCCGTTATTTTTTTTTCTTTATGTTAGTTAAAGAATATTTAATGTTGTATCAAAATTTTTAAGGTTACCATATTAGGTAATATTTGTTTAGAAGAATTGAAATTCATCAAATTAATTATCAATATTACATTTAATAGAAAATATTATTATAAATTATAATTTAACTAAATTTAAAAGTGATTTAAATGACATTCATTAGCAAAATTCATTTAATAAATCTTTATTTAATTGTTTATTTAGAATTTCAATCATTTTGAATTTTGACTTTTCCTAATTTCAAGTTGGATTTTAGATTTAGGATCATCGATCAATTAAGTTTTTTTTTTTTTTTGCTCAGCAATAAAATGTATAATTACTTTCAATTGATGGAAGCACCAATAGAAGATTATTTTAAGAAGAAAAATGAGATGAAAGAATGATTGGTTATGCATACCTCCATCTTCTCTCTATAACAATGAAAGTTAGTATGATACGATGTTTTAATGAAAAATATGCAAATATATTGGTTTCAAATTTTTTAGAATTAATATGAAATTCTTTTTATTTGGAAAAAAATTATATGCTCTTTCATTTTTTTCATTTATATCAGTTAAAGAATATTCATTGTTGTATCAAAATTTTTAAGGTTACCATTTTAGGTAATATTTGTTTAGAATAATTGAAATTCATCAAATTAACTATCAATATTACATCTAATATAAAATGTTATTATAAATTAAAATTTAACTAAATTTAAAAGTGATTTAAAGGCATTTATTAGCAAAATTTATTTGATAAATCTTTATTTAATTTTTTTTTAGAATTTCAATAATTTTGAATTTTGACTTTTCATAATTTCAAGTTAGATTTTAGACTTAGGATTGGTGATCAATTAAAAGAAAAATTTTTGGCTTAGTTACCAATTAAGTTGAGTTAAGTTCTATCATCTACTTTTATTTATAGTGTACTCAATTATTCACTTATGCAACTTAGAAATTTTGACTTAATAATTTGTGCATGCTTCTTTTGTTTAAAAAGTTGGATTCAAATCGTCCTAAATCCAAATAAAAATGAGTATTTTCAATTACTTGTAATTATAATTCCACTTAAAAAATACTCTTAAAATTAATTAACTAATTCAACCATAAAGACAATAAAAATAAGAAATTAAAGGTAAAGGGAAAAAACTTAAATAAGAAACTTTTAAATTGTTATGGAAGATAAAAAAGAGATATTGAATTTTGATTGGGTTACTATTTCAATTCGCATTATAGTTATGTTCAATCATTTCAAGTTTTAAATAACTATTAAGTTGTTAACTTTAAAATCAATTGAAATCAAATCAAGTTAGTTTATTTTATAATTATGTGTATTATATTATTTTTAATGAAATTTAAATTTAAAATGAGTAAAAAAATTATTTGTACTCAAATTGAGTTTTGAATTATTTCAAGTTTGACTTGATTAATTTATGTTATTTTGGCTATACTTTTATGACACTAGTAATAAATTTTAAAATTAAATGAGAACACAACACAATGAATAAATTAAGTGTAAAAGTGATAGAGATATTAATAATAATTCTAGAAAAAAATCCTACTAATAATAATTCTAGAAGAAAATCTTTATGTCCAAGTCTTGCAGAGATTAAAGGATATATTTCTTTTTAAAGATTTTGAAATTCGTATTATAGAAGTGTTAATTTAGATCAATGAGTTTGTAATCGTTCATTTGTTAACAAGTTGATACTATATGAGTTGAGGGAAACAATTCAAATATTTCATTTGAAAGAGATATATAGTGTATACTCATTCAAAAAAACATTATAGAGTTAAACATTATTTGAGTCATTATGACCCCTTACAATATACTTTACTCTTTCAAATGGAGAAGTTAATTGACATCAAAATATTAAAAAAAATCATTTTGAATGATGATAATAAGAATGAAGCAACAATTAGAAATATACTCTCTTTTTGTTTAGTAGAAGAAGATTTTATGAAAAATGTGAAGGTAATTATTGTGAATTTAATAATTTTTTAAAATTATTGTCTATTTAATTTTTATAAATTTTATTTAGTAAATTTGTTCTCATTACTTTTATCATATATATAATAGAATTTTTACCCAAAATTATATACTTAAATATATAAATATAAGACAAAGTTTATTAGTTCAATTGATGATAGAACACTTCAAAAATTTTAAACTTTTATAGCAATTGTATTTCGCTAATAGGTATGAAAACAAATACCAATAATTCAATCAAATCATCAATAAAACTTATTTAATATGTAATATTTTACCATTAACTAAAATTTTTTAAAAATATCTTTAAAATGTTGACTTAATTTATATTGTATATATTTATTTAATTTAGTTTTAATATTTGCATTATTATAAAAAGTTATAATTTTAACATATTATTACGTATTAAACTACTAATAATAAATTAAAACCATTTACTCATTCTTTTCATGTCATTTGTGCATCTTCTTTCTCTATCTTACAAATTATATCATTTAGCATATATTATGGCTATTTTATTTTTAGATATATATAAATCAATGATAATATAATAGTATATAATTAATAACTTAATAATTAATCATTGAAAGCTTAAATATAATTAGTATAACTTAGCAATAATCATCACACTACAAACAATTTTTCATATACTGATTCTTGGTTATACTGACGATCAAATTTCATCAGTAAAAGAGCCTATTACTGACAGATTATTAATATCGTAAGAATATACTATACTTATACCAATACTTTATTTAACCGTCGGTATAAATAAACTTTTTTTTATGAATATGACTATCCGTTAATATAAATATGTTATATACTGACGGTTATTAACATAACCGATATTATTGTTTAGTCAACCGAACTGATCCTCTTATAATATTATTGCAGGTGATGATGTTGTCCCCTACAAATGTGGAGAAAAATCTGCCCATTCCTTGAATATAGCAATATTTTGGAACCTCACCTTTAAAAAATATGAAGCGTAACTATTTAGGCTTTTACAATAACTGTTAGTCTGTAATTAGCTCATTGTTAATTGACAAACCATGCACCATTCTAAGTTTTGGTTAATTTGGCTGTGCAGGATTGGTCGTTACACCGTCCCTAAGGAGATGGCTGAGGTCTGCAATTGGCTTACAGCAAGGCTGGGGCTTGAGGGATTCCGCTAAATGTAGCACAGCATCAGTTTATAGTTGGAGCTAATGGAAGAAGAAAGAACAGGGAAACAACAATGGCGAAAAAAGATAGAAAAGTGCTTATGTACAAGTAGGTAGTGAACAAAATGGGTTGTTGGGCATATGGTATAGTTGAATTAGCCCTCTTGAATCCCTTTTTTGTGTTTTGCCCTGTCCTTATAATAAAGTCTTGGATTTGTTTTTCATTTTAAATGTAGGATGTAGATTGTAATAGCCTAGTCTATTGTACTTTCATAGCATTTTGGTATTAGTTAACGGGATATTTAAAACTAGTGGCTTTTGGCTTCTATCTTCATTTGTTTTCCTGTCTTGATTGCTTGTCAGCATTCATGGAAGCTGTGTCTAGTAATTATGAAATCAGTTTCTGGTGTTATCCTTGTCGAATGATTTATAAAAATGGAGGCTTCTTCATGTTGTTCAGAACTATGTGACAATAGGAACTGAGTTGCAAGATATCACAGACCATAAGAAGAGCATCTGTCTGATCTACACATCCCTGTTGATTTTTCTGGACTTTTCCAATCAAAAGTTGCTGGAGAATAGAGGAGAAAGATAGGGTTTGCTTGATAAATTTTGCGAGAAAGGGAGTAGATGTCCATATACAGAAAAAAAAAAAATAGCAATCAATAGAAAGTACCAGCATTGCTGTTACCATGTTTCTTAAAGGGGGAGTAGACCAGAAGTAAAAGAATCATCCTGACCACCAAGTAAAGCGCACTGACCAGATTCTAAGATATTGATGGATTCAGTTCTTTAAATTATTTGAAACCTATAAATCATTTTACAATTTGTAATTACATGCATTATTTCATCAAATACCTGCAACAATAAATAACCAGAGAAGGCCAAGAACCATCATCTCTGTCAGCATTGAAACTCATAGCCCTGTTTGCAATGTAAAGGGCTATGCTTAGCTGCAAATTGAAGCAGTTTCTAGGCATGTCAATGAGAAAAGCAGTAAAATCTTGATCAGGCACTTAGCTCTCTCTAAGAAGCCTATATTCTACCAATTACTTGCGGAGTCCATTCAAATAACAAAATTTTAACTTAACCCCATTCACTTGTCATGACTGCTACCATGATGATCATTTTCGGTTTGATTAATATGGTCTTCAGAGTTACAGTATGGTGTAAGAAGAGGGAAAGAAGGCACAGCCTGAAAAATAAGTTTACGGCCACTTTGCAGACCTGGTGTAGAATTTGAACCTAACTTATATGATTGAAGCTGTGGAGGAGACACGTTTCTGATTAGGTGAGCCAGCTTTCACTATGTTGGTGGGGTTCGAATTTTCCATGAGGATTTCGGGCGAACCATCTCCCATTATGTCACAGAGTGCACTTGTAGAATCCAATTCACGCGACACATTGCTCACACATCCTTGTGTACGACTCAAGGCAGAAGAGCACCAATGAAGGTAACCAGGTGACAACTGTAAGCCACTTCCCTTTTGTGATTGAGCCTGTGAGTCATTTGGACAGTCCCCCAAATTAGGTGATGTCAAAGAAGGCACTGCTCTTGAGTGAGAATGTGACAATGGGGTGGGATGGCTTATGTCGACAAGTTCTTCCCATGTTGGTGAGAACTGATTTGCTGTCCCACCCTTGATGCTACCGGACATAATCTCTGCTGTATTCAGCTTCTCATGAGATAGATTCTTCAATTTTTTCTCTCTCTGGAATATTGGTTCTGTAGTTTCAGCATAGTGTAGTAAGTTAGCAATTAGAAAAAGGTGCATATAAGACAAGCGTGCAAGCATGACATTAAGGTGTCAGCTCCTCACATACTTGTCATCAATTGAACAATATCTGGTATAATTCCGTAAATTAGAACTTTTGCACATTTGTTTGTAATGTAACAAAAATCAAAATTGATTCAACAATCGAATCAAGAAAAATAAGTACTTAAAGTTCACTGTGTTGGTGGGATTGGAGGAGACACCCCAAAAGCCTATTAGAAAGTGATCAAGGGAATCCATTTTCTCCATCTCAATACATAATGATCCTGATTTGGTTTAAACTGCTATGTGCTTATCAACCAACTAAGGTTCATGAAAATTACTTCATTGCCTGAAGGCAATCTCTGATCAAAAAATTGAAGAGGAAGAGATTAGAAATAACCTGACTTCTTGCCAAAAGAATTTTCACAATCCTCACAACGGCATCCATCAGAGCATCCAACTTTAGCCTAAAATAAGGGAGAATATTTGTGCAGTCAGAATGATCAGAGGAATCTTCATAACGAAGTCAAACTCCACTTTCCATTCAGAAGAGAAACGGTAGAAGATGACAGCCATATAAAATTTAGTTCTTAAAGCTCCATGCTGCATCAGCTTAGATATGAAATCCGGATAAAAGCAGCCAGAAAGAATAATACAGTTGCCAAACGAAAGGAAAAAAAAAAAAAAGGAAAAACAGATGAATAACTAGCAGCACCACGCATCCAGCTATCAAGTTAAAGCATACCCGAAAGCACTCACAATACTTTTTTAGGCACTTTGACCTCTTGCATTTGCATCCTCTTTTGTGCCTGGCTGAGGAAGGGGTCATCGAGTTTCCATCGTCCTGCAATGTTATCATGTCAAATAATTTGAAATACACAATTTTAATTAAAAAGTAAGATTCTAGAAGGTATTACCGCTACATTTGGAGAATCATTGGCTTGCTTGACAACTGCTGGAGCAAATGCAAGAGGGTTACGCAATTCAATTTGTTGTCGAATATCAAGAACAGTATCCTCATATTCAGGCTTGTTGAAACAGTTTTCACATGCACAATAATCTACACAGTAAATTCCTGCTGCAAAGCACTCGCAATAACTGACAATGACAAAGGACACAGCTGAAACAGACTGCAAATATACCTGCCTCTTTTATCGAAAATATGAAAATGCTATAAAGTCATACACAATGCAATTCGTCCTTAAATTGCCTCCATTCAGAAAGAAAACATTTAATTAATTAATCTCTTTTCCAGTTAGGTCTGTCTGAGTGTCTTGCAGAAACAGAGCAGCGCACTCCAATCTACTCTAGCATCGTAAGTAAGATCATGAGAGGAGTTTGCAGAAAATCCCTGGTTAGATGTTTGAATGGCATTTAAGTGGATGCATCTTGACACGATCTTGTCGACGAGGATATATGTAAAATATGTTGAAAGACTTCAATTTCCTTAAAATATCTATCTTTTTTCTATTTCATTGTGCAAGTCAAATATCAAATAAGCCAATATGTTGTTCAAAAGATGCAAGCTACTACTTTGAAGCTTAACAAGCTGTCTATTCTTATGTCATGTGAACTTACAGTTTCAAACATTTGGACCTCTTGCAATTGCAGAGTTTACAGCCCTCACTCTCGTCTGTGTATGTTTCCCTCTTCCTGAATACAAGAGATCCCAAAGCTAATAAAGCAATGTGAACAATAATAATAATAATAATAATAATAATAATAATAATAATAATAAAGCAATGTGAAAATGAAAATTAATTTCCAAATTTTTAATAAAAGACTAACGTGGACTTGCCTCTTTCCTTTTGAGCTATCTTGGCATTGGGATGGTTCCTCAACCCTGTCAGCAAATTGCTGACCAGGCATTTTCCCATTACATGAAAGTGTCTGCTGGTCAAAACATGACACTTTCTGAGAATCCCATGGAAGTTCGATATTGTCGGGTAGGTGACCTCCATTGACTACCACAACAGCTTCGCTGCTCTGGTGATCAATAACAACGTGATCACCAACTTCGGTAGCTGATGAGTTGAAGAGACAATTTATGTTCTTCAATAAATTATTGCTCCTCCCAGGTGTATGCTTCTCTTCACTTTGGTAGACAGCCAATTTCTTGCTTGAAATTACATCTGAGCCCACAGATACAGATCCGGCTACATTATTTAATTGCAAAATATGAGATGGAAGCTGAGCTGAGATGGAATGATTTCCACCATTGCCTGTGGAACTAACAGAGTTAGATCCAAGGAAAAAGGCCCGAGCGGCCATGGTCTGACTACAGCAGATTGCCTGAAGGCCCTTAGAGATTCCTTTGGGTTCAATGAGAGATGGAACTGCAGTCCCTGGTCCAGAAGAAGTATGGCAGTTAAAAGCAGCATCACATTTGCAGTCCAATGTAGCCTCAAATTGAAGATGTCTACGGATACCTCGTTGGTGCTGAGATGCCTCCTGTATTTGCATGCAAAAAATGAATTTATAAGTAACAAGTAAAAACAATATAGAATTTCACTCTCTGTACCTTTTTCTAGACTAATAGATAGGAAAAAACTTTTCTGTCTTGTCCCACTAGAAATGAGTCTATTTCTGTCTTTCCCTAGTCATAAAACTAGAGGGGAGAAAAGAGATATGTTTAATATCCCTAAAAATATTTCACAAATACTTGAATTCATCCGTTCCATGCCAGGTTGAGAAAGATGAATCAGAAACGATGGTATTAGAATTTAATAGTAAACTACTGAATTTACCCTGCAAACTAATGAACTACTTTAATCCTACATATATTGCAAGTTTCAATGCTTTTGAAGTCACCTCTTCACTTATAAACATTGCAAAAATTCCAAGAGAAGCTACTATAATGGAAAACTCGATTAACTACATGACTCACACTGTGACATTCATTTTATTTAAATTACTGAAAAGAGAGAAAATCATTTAGCTGACCCACATTATGTTCTAGAAAATCATCAGACTCAACATGATCACAGATGTTTTCAGATGAAAATTCCGAGATCTTATCAGATCTTTCATCTATGCTTTGATCATCAGAAACCTGAACCAAACACAATGATCCTGAAAGCAAGTGTTTTTTGGCGAGATGTGGCAATGTCTGTGCCCCAACCTCTATAATAACATCATTAGTAACATCAACTTTTCCAATGGTCACCTCTGAGGCAGTAAAACAACTTGGTAGTAGAGGTACATCAGTAGCTGACTGCACCAATCTTTCAGCATTTTGTGCTCTGTCGGCTTTCAAAGGATCAGCTAGGCATTCACCAACAAAGTCAGAGGGACTACAAGACTGGAGATGCTTCTGATTGCAAGGTATGGGCGCAGAGTTTGATGGGGAATAACATTTTCCATGAGCTTGTGAACTTGAAGCAGCTATCTCCTCTCTATCGACATGTAAAAATGAATTTTCAATTGACAGCAAGAGTTGTTCAGAGTAAAATGGTTTAAGAGTTAAGACAAAACCTTTTAAGGAAGCTGGTTTCTTGATGCAAGTCTAAATGAGGTGAGCTAAACACTAATGGAGTTGTCGGGAAACTAGACTCAGAAAGCCTTTGTGTATACCGTGATGCCCTGGCTGACTTTATCGGAGAGAGATTATTGAGAAATTTGGAAAAGGGAGATTTCTACAATGGAAAGAAGGGAGGAACAAAGAAAACATCATTTATTTTTTATGTAAACAGGTTAACAGATTTACGTTTAAAATATGAACAAGACGAGGAAGAGCAAAGTGACAAGATTTTGAAGATATCCAAACCATCATGGATCAATGCTGAAAACAAAACAGAACATGTGGTAACTGACTATAAAAGATAAAAAGTAAGCTGTCAAGAAAAGCCTTACACTCTGTTTGATAAAAAAAAAAAAAACACCTACATAACACCATACTATTTTGTAGCTCAACAGTTAGATTAGAACTTTTCTTTTCTTTCCCCTTTCTTTTCTTCTTACCAAACACAGCCTTAGTAAATTCCAAATAGAACTTGAGGTTTCTTATGAATCAAACAGGACATCAAAATTCTGATAAGCCAAGAAACACCAAAACTTTGCTTTGAAATTGAAACCTACTACTCCCAATGCTTTCATACGTGAAGAACCCACCATAATCAGTTACTAAAAAAATACTCAAATGTAATAAACCCATCAAAGTAAAAATTTCATTAAAAAAAAAGAGAAACATTTAACAATGATTTAGAAAATTTATAATGATCCTTTTCTATCTGAAACCAAATCCTCTGCTTCAGTGAACCTGAGACTAATGAGTAATCAGTTTACTTTAATTATAATTTAAGCAAACGAATATATGGTTAGACAAACACAAAAGAATCAAATTGATCATTTTAAAAGAATCATCTTTGAAGAGAAAATGCATGAAGAGATCGTAACTTGTGCGGATGGAGAGCTAGCAGCGCATGCCTCAACGGAATTTCCATCACTTTTAGGAGATTCCATGTTATTAAGATTTGGAAAATGTTTGCTTTTTCATTGGAGGATTTTCTGGAGAAAGTCATGGAAAAACAATATCCTCTCTATCCACGGTTCTCTCCTTCTCTGCTTTTTAAAATCTTCCTCCGAGCGGGAAGGTCATCCTTTTATTTCAAGAGAAAATGGGTTTTAATATGGGCTTTTGGGTTATTCATTGGCTCATTGCCCATTAGATACTTTCGGGTCGGGATGGAAAGCCCAATAAGGTTTCTCGTTCTCTCTGCTAACCTCTTAAACCCTACTTAAAGCCCTTTTTGACCGCTCCCAAAAAAATCCGACACTTTCCCACCGTCCAAACGCACTTCGGCACCAAATGAATTACCGTTTCCAAAACCTCCTCGGCGCCCCTTACCGCGGTGGAAACGCCGTGATAACACAAAACTCCAACTTAATCTCTCCAGTAGGCAACCGCGTCTCTGTCACGGACCTCGTCAAATCCCAAACCTTAACTCTACCCATCCAGTCCTCCAGCAACATCCTTCGGATTGCCGCATCACCCGACGGCGTTTTCCTCGTCACTGTTGACGATAAAAATCGTTGCCTCTTCATCAACCTCCCGCGACGTGTGGTGTTGCACCGCATAACTTTTAAGCATCCCGTAAACGCCCTCAAGTTTAGCCCCAATGGGAAATACATAGCTGTAGCAGCAGGTAAATTGTTGCAAATATGGAAATCTCCCGGGTTTAAAAGAGAAGTTTTTGGTTTTGAATTGGTTAGAACTTTTGCTGATTGTAATGATAAGATATTGGCAATTGATTGGGATAATGAATCAAAATATTTGATTGTTGGGTCTAAAGATTTGACTGGGAGGTTGTTTTTTGTGGATAAAATAAAGGGTAGTTATAAAAAACCATTTTTGTTTCTGGGTCATAGAGATTCTGTTGTTGGTTGCTTCTTTGGTGTTGATAAGAAGAGTAATAGGGTTGATAAGGCATTTACCATTGCTCGTGATGGTTTTATTTTTAGTTGGGGTTATAGTGGCAATGATGGTAACCATGACTTTGGAGATGAAGGTCTGGAGGATGAGGAGCCGCCTTCCCCCGGAACACCAGAGAGGGATGGTGAAGGTGGGGAAGGGAGTGTGAAGAAAAGGAAGGATTTTGATGGTAAAGAAAGTGGGTTTGGTGAAGTTCAGGGCTATTTGAGTGGAGGGAAATGGGAGTTGATGAGGAAAGATTGTTTTATGCAGGCTCCAGCGAAGTTGACTGCATGTGATTATCATAGGGGGCTTGATCTTGTTGTGGTGGGATTCTCAAATGGGGTTTTCGGATTATATCAAATGCCGGATTTTGTGTGCATACATTTGTTGTCTATATCGAGGGAGAAGATTACAACGGCTGTGTTCAATGACCTTGGAAATTGGTTGACATTTGGTTGTGCAAAGTTGGGGCAGTTGTTGGTGTGGGAGTGGCGATCAGAGAGTTATATATTAAAGCAGCAGGGACATTACTTTGATGTGAATACTCTGGCTTATTCGCCAGATTCACAACTCTTGGCTACTGGAGCTGATGATAATAAAGTGAAGGTAAATGAATGTTTGAGAGATGTTTTGGTGGTTTAGATCTTACATGGTTGGTATGCATTTTTGGCTGACTATTTTCATGGTTGTGGTTCCTCACTTTAAGAATCTTGAGCAAACATTCTATGTTCATATGTACTACATCATTGCCTCACTGCTGCTTTCCTCATATAGTTCACTTTTACACCTCTTGAAATTTTGGATTTTATATTTTACAGGTATGGACTGTTTCGTCCGGCTTTTGCTTTGTAACATTCACGGAGCACACTAATGCAATTACTGCACTCCATTTTATGGCCAATAACCATTGCCTCTTAAGTGCATCCCTGGATGGGACTGTTCGTGCATGGGATCTGTTGCGTTATCGAAATTTTAGAACATTTACTACCCCTTCTTCTAGGCAGTTTGTTTCTTTGGCAGCTGATCAAAGTGGTGAAGTGATTTGTGCAGGAACTCTGGATTCGTTTGAGGTACATTGTTCAGTGCTGCACAATTTTGACATTCCCATACCATTCACTTTTCTTAATTTTTTATTCATTGTTGTGTATTACAGATTTTTGTTTGGTCAATGAAGACGGGCCGTTTATTGGATGTTCTTAGTGGTCATGAAGGTCCTGTTCATGGGTTGATGTTTTCTCCTACAAATGTGAGCTTACTTTTTTTCACTCTTTCTTTTCTGCTGATTTGAATTTAGGTTTTCTGTTTATCTTCTTCGATCCTATTTTTTATTATGGATTTGTGTCTTCTCCTAACATTGTTTATTAGCTGTTTGTCATCTACATTAATGTGCCCTAAAGATATGATGTTTTATCTCTGATTTATAGATTGAATCTATCTCTCATGATTATATGTTGTATATACACAATTTTTCTTTTTTTTCTTATTTTACCTTTAATCGGACCAATTGATTCAATTTTTTTAAATATATATTTAGGCAATATTAGCTTCATCATCATGGGACAAAACCGTTCGGTTGTGGGATGTATTCGAAGGAAAAGGCGCTGTTGAAACATTTCCTCATACCCATGACGTTCTGACAGTTACTTACCGTCCAGATGGAAAGCAATTGGCTTGCAGCACATTAGATGGACAAATTCATTTTTGGGACCCTATTAATGGCTTGTTAATGTACACCATTGAGGGCCGTAGGGATATTGCTGGAGGACGTCTCATGACTGATCGAAGATCAGCAGTTAACTCAAGTTCAGGAAAGTGCTTCACAACCTTATGCTACTCTGCTGATGGGAGTTACATCTTAGCTGGAGGACGTAGCAGATACATCTGTATGTATGATGTTGCTGATCAGGTAAGTTTAAAGACAATCCTTGTTTACCAAATAAAAATTAAAAAATACTTTAATTTGAAGCATATTTACACATTTAAAAATAATTATAATTTTTGGATTATTTTAGGTGTCACTAAACCATTTATTATTTCAGCAGTTTAAATGTTTATAGTGCTTTCTGCATGATATCATAGAGCTCTGAGTAATTATTTCTCTGTGCGTGAATAATCTGATGATGAAAATGGCATTCAAAACCACACAGATAGCAAGGGGTTTTTTGTTTTTCCTGTGAATTTTACTGTTGAAATCTAGAGAATAGTTTTCTTTTGACATCTATATCTTGCCCCTCTTTAATTTCCATGTGTCCAACATCCAGAACAGAATAAAGTCATCATGAAATGCCCTCTTATTTTGGAGACATCATTTTCAACCATTAATTGTCTTATAAAAGAGTCAAATATATCTGATTGAGAATCAGAAGGAAGAATATGTATGGCAATCACTTTTGTAATTGAAACTTGGGTTTTGTTACCAAGAAGAATTTAGTGTTCTTCCTATATTTGTCTCGTTCTGAACCAAGAGGTACTAGGGCATGCATGCTTGTTACCTTGTTCCATTACATACTTTCTTCATCAGTACGGTCCTTATAGTATGTTTTCCTCTCTCATCCTTTCCATTTGATATACAATGCGCATTCCTCTGGGTGATAATTTCAACCAATGCTTTTTTGTCCACCTAGAGTCCCTTTTTTCCTGTTTTGGTCAAAATGTTGGATATATGATAAATCCAATTATATATATTGAACAGGTTCTACTTCGACGATTTCAAATAACTCATAACCTCTCTTTGGATGGAGTTCTTGACTTCTTGAACTCAAAGAATATGACAGAAGCTGGCCCATTGGATTTAATTGATGACGATAACAGTGATACAGAAGAAGGTATTGCCAAACAGACCCGAGGAAATATAGGATATAATCTACCAGGATCCATGCCTAATCATGGAAGGCCTGTTATCCAGACAAAGTGCCTTAAAATTGCACCCACAGGACGAAGTTTTTCAGCAGCAACAACAGAAGGTGTTCTTGTTTATTCAATCGATGAATCCTTTATTTTTGATCCCACAGATCTTGACATTGATGTTACGCCAGAGGTACTTTCCTTTTCTAAATCTTTGAGTTTTACAAATTTTGCCTATTATGTTTCTTCAAATGTAAAGTGATTTTTCTTTTTCTTTTTTTTTGGTTTATGATTTTTTTTTTCTTCATTTTTACGTAGGCCATCGATGCAGCACTTAATGAAGATCAGCCAAGCAGAGCTTTAATTCTTAGCTTGCGTTTGAACGAGGATACACTAATTAAAAAAAGTATTTTCGCTGTCAGTCCAGTAGATATTCCAGCAGTTGCTTCATCAGTCCCCTACAGATACTTGCAAAGGTTAATTGAGGCATTAGCTGACCTTCTGGAAAGATGCCCACACTTAGAGTTCGTTCTTCGGTGGTGTCAGGTAGCTTTCTGTCATTTTGCCAGATAAATTAACATTTTTTTGTGTTATGCTCTGACAAGGTCCGGATTGTTTTACGGCAGGAAATCTGCAAAGTTCATGGTAACTCTATTCAGCAGAATTCCAGAAATCTTCTGCCCGCTTTAAAATCTTTACAGAAGGCAATCACCAGAATCCATCAGGATTTGGCAGATATATGTGCTTCCAATGAATATATGCTTCGATATTTATGCTCTGTTGGCAACAATAAATGAATTGAGCATTCTTTAATTGGTTGAAACTTTGTCAAAAAATATTGGAGGAAAGATAATTACCGTGCGTTGTGTTGTAATACTTTAATGTGAACCCTGATAGCATTAATCAGCTGAAAGGAACATGCTGTGTTCGGATCCCATGTTGCAGCATCATTGAAGTTAGAAAGTATTGCCTACTCTTCCAGCAACAATCCAGAGTGATTAGATGACATCCATGTAAACCTTGCAGCTTTAACACGATGCAAGTCATAGCAGACGTTTTCAGTTGATGCCCAGGTTTAACCCCTTTTGTATGGCTCGTGCGAACAGCTCAGAAATATTTGAGCTAGTTTTAGACTTTTATAAGCTTCTACAATGTTTGCCTCGGCTTTAAATTTATAGGTTGGATTTCAAATTTAGGGTTAATATGTAATTTGACTTGAATTATATATATTTTTTTAATGATTTAATAATATTTATAAAATAAAAAATCACAATGAAGCATTTAAATTTTATTTTCGTCGTTAAGCATTTTGCAATATCGACATACGGTGACAAATAGTGGCCGATAAAGATGTCATATGATATTATTTGTTATGTTTTATCACATCAATTTACCATTAATCAAAATTAATGTGGAAATAAAATTCTTGACTTAGATAATTGTTAATATTTTTTTCTAAATATCAAATGATGAAAAGTCAAGTTTTATATATATATATATATATATATATATACCAAATTATGAAATGTGAGATGCTCTAAAAGCTGAATCACACATTACCCTTCAAATTTAGTTTCAATCAAACAAGCAAAGCAACTAGGTATAAAATCTTGTGTTCACCTTCCAATTTGAAGCACAAGAATGATGCTAACGGACCGGAGTGAAGTCGGAAACAATTTATTTTCAAGAAGCAAAAGTTTAAATGTGGCACCGGAAAAAGAATAGGTAAACAATAAGCTTACTATTGAAAATTATTTAACAAAGCAAGGTCACAAGTACATAAACCTCCCATTTTATCATCTCAAGAAGAGGAGCAAACAAAAAGGTTTTTGCCATTCAACAATGATTTATTCGGACTTGGGGCTGGCTGCAATATCCTTGAGCTTTTCTTTCAGTTCTCCCGTCTACACAATGACATACACAAATGCATTAGCCATGGTCCACAGGGGGTCTGTTAAAAGTGAAGTTACACAAAGGGAGGCAAAAGGCCAAATATAATAGGAATTAACCTGGTGCATATTAAGAATTATATCTGAACCCCCAATGAACTCCCCATTAATAAATATCTGTGGAAATGTGGGCCAGTGGCTGCAAGGAAAAAAATTTGTGATGGAAGGAAATAAGCACACCATTTGATTATCATCCTGTCTTCTTAACTAATAATTAACCATTTGAGAGGTGAAAATCTGTCAATATTATCACAATAATATTATGCATGAACCAATGTAAAACTAACATCAATGACTACTTCGGGAAAAAAAAAAATCCATCAAATACAATTAGAAACAAAAAGTTTATATCTAAGCCATGAAACTGAATGCAAGGAAGCCTAATCAGCTAATCCTCAATGTGGAATTTGGCATCTTACTCGTAATTACATCTAATAAGAACACTTTATGTAGAAATTTCAACTATAAAACAACACAGTGCCATATCTGTAAACTTTTCAGCAATAGAAACACTTATTGATCTAAACGGCAAGAAGTCTGATGCCAGGGAAAAATAGACAAACAATATATGGATATATCAGTATTCAAACCAGGACCTATTTTTACTCAAAAATTGTTGAAACAAATATTTTTCCCTATCTGAGCATGTTAGAGGTACACAAAATGCCCATGTTCAAACTAAGATGATGTAGAAGAATAAAAGCATTTTAGTTGTTTATGTGAATTGAATTCCAGACAAAATAGTTTGTTTCTGCTATTTATTTAATTCTGCTTCAACAAAAAGCAAAATGATAGACGTTTAAGATATAAGACACACTAAACTTCTCAAGATCAACAAAAAGGAAAGGATTAGGAACAAAAGGAAAATTTGGCAAACCATTAAAGTGTTTACTACTGAATTGGTCGTTTCTAAACCAGTGGGAAATCTATAGCCTTAAGGGATTCTCCACTTTGCACTAGATACATTAAACATTGACGGAACAAAGACTAATAGCTGACACAAACCCTGTACACAGGCTTCATTAACTGACAAGTGTCAGCAGTTGGCAAGTCATGTACCAAAACTTTGACATGTTAAATCAATTGCCTTCACACAATAAATTTAGCATCTTTATATGAAAAAATAAAAATAACAAGAAAAGATCATGCCCAAACCATACATAAGAGCACCTCAGACTAAGAGGTAGAGTTTGAATGTTCACTTGTTTTATGCTAATACTATAATTAGCCTTTGGAGGAAAACACCAGCAAGTGCCAATTTACCTGAAAGCTTTAACAGCAATTTTCAGCTCAGGATCTTCCAGAATATTTCTTGCACTTAAAGGAATACCTGTATCAGCCAGAAATTTGATAAGAATACAAAACTGCTAAATGCTTTTGCTATCAGAGCCTCAAAAATTACACCAAGAGGAAACAAGCACACATGGAATTGTTGGGCAAATACTGGACATAAACAAACCTATTTTCTGTCATAAAGGTCATAGTTAACACTTTTTATAATTTTCTTTTAAAGGAGCAGACCTCAAACAGACATTTGTGTATGTACACAGACAAACGGACAAGCAATGTAATCAAATGCAAACTTATCCCTGAACCGATTAAAATACCAATCAAAGACTGAACAGGGAAAAGGCGAAATGCTTGGGGTCATTAAATTAACACCTACCATATTGTTTCAAAACTCTTACTGCCAGTGAACTGAATCCACATTGAGGAAAATCAGGTACCCCTTTCATGTAAATCATCACAGGGTTTTCCTTGACATCCTACGATAGCAGTTAATCACAATCAATAATACTATAGAGAACATAATAAAGAACTTTTGTCAGCCAGAAATGAAACAAAAAGATCCCATATGCTTCAATTTTATAACATTAAACATCTAAAAGGACATATCTACCTGTTCAACAACATCCTCCAATGAAACAGCAGAACCCTGAACCTTATTAGTGGGTCTAAAATCTTCATGTGTATCAGGGTCACTGGGGCCATTTGCGGAGTATTTCAACCTATTCCCATAGAAAGATCCAAGTGCCTAGTAACAGCATAAACCAAATTATAACCTTTGAAAACAACACAAGAAAATCCAGAAGGAGCAATAATTAATCAAACGCTAAACTTCAGTCAAAGATTTAGCTAAGCAACCACATTTTGAAGCAGTCAAATCATGAAATAGTTTGCTAAAAACTCATCTCTTGATTTCTTCTACATCACACGGAATCTTAAGACAATCACCAACAATTTAGACCAAAAGTAAAAAGCTTGGTTGAGTTTAGACGGTTATCTAACCAGGGGAAAGCTCAAAATTTTCTTTTCTTTTTTTTTTTTGCTTGTTCATCAATTTGGGTCCAAAACAAACATAAATTGGAATTCAGAAAGATTATTATATTCTGGTCATAAACAAAATGCTTGAATTTTTTTTAAAGAAATGTTTTGAAGCATCTGCTTGTGAAACCCAACAATTGGTTTCAAAACATCACGAAAGCAAAGCAAGAAATTTAAGATCAAAATGGTCTCTAGCTTGGGGCACTTACGTTTCTACTAGAGCGAACAGATGGAAGAGTGGCGATGCCCTTGAACACAGCGTTTGATAATAATCTAGCCATTACCTTCCAACTTCTGATTATTCAAATTACCTACACCATTTCAATAAATAAATTAGTCAATAGCAACTGAGACAGAAAGACAGAAGAAGTACAAAAAGAACGGCGGAGATTTCATTTGTTTACCGGACAGAAAGAGCTTAAGCGGGAAAAGCTTAGGGCTTTAGAAAGAGAAACGATGAGAGAGAAATGATGGGGCAATGGGGCGATGAGGTGTTTATTACAGCGTCGTCCGAAGAAAAAGAGGGAATTTCACCCAAGTACCTGAAGTTTAACTTAAATTTTTTTTTGCCCTCAAACTTTTTGAAAGTGTTTTTTTGTTCCTAAATTTTGCAGTCCACATCAATTTAATCCTTCCCTTGGTAAAATTGTTAACCCATTTCCATTAAATTTAATTTGACAATGACAGCTGTATAATATATATAGTTAATTAATTTAATTTTAAAAGAAGAAAAATATAAAGCAATAATAATTTGATTGCTATATGATATTTTCCATAGGGTTTTTCTAATTGTTTGAGGGAAAAACTTGTTTTTTGTATTATGACATCATTTCTCCATTATTTTGATACTTAGGTTTTTTCTTTTCTTCAATAGTTTTTCAATCTCCAAACAAAGAGACAGAGGAGGCTCAAGCAACTCAAGCATTTTTTAGAATTCAAAACTTAAATTAATTTATTAATACACCTATCTTTAATAGATAATATTTAATATTAAATATGATACTTGTAATGCCTTCGTCTATTTTCAAATTACGACCTCTTAAATAAAAAAAAAAAACCTCATAAGCATTTTTTTTCACATACAGTCCTAGTATTGTATAAAAAATAAAGATAATTTGTCTCTTGTAGCTTTAACTAAATCAAAGTGTTTAATCCATGGTATTGCTATCGCTTGGAACAGAGGATTTAGAGCTACTGAAATTGAATATGGCTCCAACAACTCAATTAAAATGATCAAGAAAGGGTTTAATGCCTCACTTCTGCTTGATCGTGATCATCGAGGAGTATTTGATAAAAGATTGAAGTTGGAAGTTAAAAGTATATTCCTAAGTTAACAAAATTTTATCGTTGACTTGATGGCTAAATGAAACTATACTCAATAACGAGTCGAGTCAATGTGAATTTTTACTTAATTCGAATTTAATTTGATTTTATACTCATAATACTCAAACTTGATCCATTTCAATGATTTTTTTTCATATTCAAATCTAATCCGACCTAAAATTAATAAAATATTATTTTTAATATAAATATAAAATTATATATAACAATAAATTTAAATAAATAATTAAAAATAAATTATTTTATATGTATAGAGTTAGATCAAATTTGTTTAAAATTCAATCTTAACTTTTTCTTACTATTACCCAATTCAACTCAACCTAACCTAAAATTTGATTTAAAAAAAAAATTAACTCCAAAATATCGGATCAAGTCAAAACTCGTCCAAAATAAGTTGGGTTACCATCCGTAGCTATAGCAAGCCACCTTTGAAGAACCGTCACAAGAAGTCATTATTAACCTGTTAATCTAGGGGATGTTGTGGCACTTGATTTTCCTAAAATGTTGCTTGTTAACCTTTTCTAGGGCTGGCTGTAAACTAAAAAAAAAAAGCAAAAGCTTTTAATTGATAAATTCAAAAAACTCTGTTTTATAAAGACTTAATTTGTGTCATAAAAAGTTTGAGGAGAAGAATGACAAAAAGTTAAAATTGAGTGGCAAGGGGGCAATTTAGCTCAAAATTTTTTGGTATAAAAGTGTGACACGTCTGTTTGCCACACGACACTTCCATGGATGTAATGGCAATTTAAAAACGAAAGACTCTTGCCAAATATAAATTGGATTACTATTTCCTGCACATATTATTGATTATAATTTTATTTTAATCAATAAAATTTTAAGTCACAAGTAAAAGGATATAATTCTTGCAAGAGTAAATAGAATTTTCAATGAGGAAATTCATGTAACATTAAACATTGATTCTGTGATAAAATATATATATATATACATATATATATATAGGGATAACAATGATTCACTTTTTACTTCCAAATCTAACATAACTTAATAGACCAAAACAATAACTCTAGCTTCCTGCTTTTGATTCCATTTACAGTGCAAAACCAAGCAGAAAATGTTTTTTGTACCAGGGAGACACACGTAAAGTACGTGCTCCAATCACTGTCCATTATTGAATGTAGACCATCTTGCTGTCCTCCGTTGCAATCCTTGGCTACGACGTGTTCTGTCAGCTAGTGAACTACGACGACTTCCTTGGAAAACTCTCTCTGATGGTGAAGTGGGGTGCCTCCAATGGAGCATGTCCTGTGAGCTGCGGTGTCTACCGTGAAATCTCTCTACTGGTCGAGGATTGTTGCGTTGCCCAAGGAAAGCTCTATCTGGTACAAAACTACTGTGCTCCCTAGTACCACGATCAGACTCTCGATCATACCTAAAGCTCCTACTTCCCAATCTCCTCCTGAATTGAACTTGTTCTGTATTCCTTGAATCACTGATGAACTCAGGTTCAAATGTCATGTATGCAGGATTTGAAGCCAACAAAGAAAGAAACTCCCCTATATCTGAAAAGCTTTCTCCATTACTTTCTTCACCTGTGACTGATTGGATTGAGCTAAGCATGTCCTCATAATCCCTCTCATGCGTCAACTTAGTCCAATCAAGCAGTCGTATCGGATCCACTTCTCTTGGTCGGACCAAAGGATGATCAGACCTAGCATGCTTCCTGAGTTCACTGTAAGTCCCAATGAAATCACAGGTCTCAGAAGAACAACTCCTGGCTTTGGAATTCATAAACTCACGAGCCGGTTCTACTACACTCCAGCCATAAATCTCTCCTCGACAGAAAGGGCAATGAAGCTTTGGCAGCAAACCACAAACTGCTTCTGTCAGATCATAAAAAGGTGACGAACCCCTCCAACTACGAGAAGTGGAGGTCATGTTTCCGAAAGGAATTTCCTGTAACACAGCCGTAGAAGGACATGACACTGATGACTTACTAAACTGGTCCAGACAATTTGAATGGCGGTGACTTGTATTACACATGAAAGGGCGACAGCCCTTCTCAAAGGAAGAACACCGCAAAAGTACCGCATTATGCGGGTGTTCCATACAGATGGGGCACCTTGCATCCTCCCACTCTTTAACATCATCGGTCGATCCAAATCCCAATCCCAATGGATTCTCAGGTTGGCATTGCTTGGCATCCCTGGAACTACACGGGTAAGGAGATACCCTAGAGCGATCAAAAGATAGAGAACCAACTGTTCTATCCTTTTGCATTTTTTGGAACTTTAAATTATCAATAACAATTATCTTAAAAATCTGCCTTTTTCCAACACCTCAAAACAGCAATATTTGAATCCCTAGATAATCATGATATTCAACTTATGAGATCAAAAGTCACATATATAAATAAATTATGAGCACGAAAATAATGTAAAATTTGCAACGCTTCAATCCCAAAATTTTTATTTGAATTATTTTTTTCAACTTTCTCTCACTTAATTTTAATGAAATTAAGCATGAAAATTAGTCAAAACAAAAAATTCAAGCCTATTATAACAAACCCAGATAAAGTTATGATCATATAAGCTAAAAAAAAAATAACTTTTTATCCAAAAACAAAGAAATTAAACCACAGGTTTGAGATTAATCAAGAACAAGTAAATTATTCCCTCGTTCATAAGTATGGGTCAAAGTTCCCAAAAAAAAAAAAAAAGAAAAAACAAGAGAAGCAAATCAATCAAAACCAAGATGAAATTTCAATTGAATCTAAAGGAATCATAGTATTATTCGTTAAAAATAAGGTGAAATTCGATAATAGATTTTACCAAGGGTTCAAACTTACCAGAGTTATCTGGAAACAGGAAATTGTATTCTTTTTGAAGTTAAGAGTTTTGCTGGAAAATACATAAATTTTTTGGCCGGATGATGGAAAGTGAATTCATTGAGAAAAAAGAGCGAGGGAGAGGGACTATTTATCGAGAAGACGAAACAACTGAAAGTACTTAAAAGTCCCTGCCTATCGCTCTTCTATCACTGACTTTTTGGGTATTTTGTTAATTATACCTATTTTGGATAGGTGTACGATTTTTTTTCCTTTGGGATTTGGTAAGTTTCAAAAACTCATCCTAAAGTAAAAAAAAAAAAAAAAACAATTACGATCCACTGAATTATTGAGAAAAAAAAATCCATCAAACCAAATTTCAAGAGCTAAATTACATCATGATTTCTGTTGGTGTGTTCATAAATTATACTAAGTAATTTTTTTTTTGGCCAAAGCTCATAAATTAAATTTAGTTATTGAAAAAATCGTCATGAAAATTTAGAATTTGTTCTCAAAATAAAATACTCTATCATCTTATTTATTATTGATCATAGTAAAATAAGAGTAGAATAATTTTTCGTAGTTACAAGCTCTGATCTTAAAAAAAATGTAAAGATTAATTTAATATTAAAGTTGAAAATTACTTTTAATCTAACCCGCTAAAATAATTAAAGAGTACTAAACGAAGGTAAGTCAGTTAGGGGCATAATAAGATGCTCTGATGCATGAGTTTTAAATTTTAAATTTTAATTTAATTAATTTATCAAATTTATAAATTATAATTTTTTTTAAAATTTTTAGACCGACACTTTTAGATAAGCTGAAACCTTTTATCTAAAAAAAAACAAATGAGCCCTGATATTGAATAAAAAAATAATTTTAGTTATTTCTATATAACAGTTTTTCTTGGTAACTTTTACGTAACTTGACATCTGTTCCCAATACATGTGCTACCTCCACTTCCCCCTCCCTCTCAGAGGATCTAACAGCGCACATAAAACGTGTTTTATTGTTTAATTTTTTTAATCTAATAAAAATAAAATTAATTGATAAAATAATCCTTAAAAATTGAGTATTTTATTTTTTATAATAACTTTTTTTATATTTTATTTTTTCAAATCATAGTTTATAATTTTGTAATTTTATACCTTATTTTTTCAAACCAAAGTTTATAAGTATTTTAATCACTTTCAAGAAATTAATTATACTCCTTTTATAAAGTTTAAAAATCATAAAATCTTAGTTAATTTTTTAATTTCTTTGTTTTTATCTTGATTTTTATATGAAAAATACTTGTTTAAATATCATATGATCACATTAAATATTTAAAAATATCATAAAAATTTTATGATATTATTTCTTATACTTTTAAATTTATTTATTTGACTTTTTAAAATATTACATATTTATTGTGTAGATTATTAATAATATTTTAGTGTACAAATTCATGCATATTTATAAATATATTTATACTAAATCAAAAATTTTGAAATAATATATCAAAATAATTTATATCGATATATATCATATTTTTATAAAAAATCAAAACGTTATCTATTATAATATTAAAAATCTTGCTTCAAACTATATTCGTTATAAAGATCTTAGCATATCACTTTCGTGTGTATGTCATATACTCGTATGCACAACATATCAATGTTTAAGAAGAATAAAATATTAAAATATAATATATCTTATGCTTTCTTATATGTGTAGTGTGTGTGCTACATGGTATTGATTGTAATATTCATAGTTGTACCTTCATCTTAGGATGCACCAACATTTCTTTTGAGGGAGCATATTGTGATATGTCAGATGAGGCAATAACAAGAACACAGTATATATAACATACTGAATCATCTGGTTGCCAATATTATACATAATTTAATACATATCAGATCTCTATAATTGTCGCTGAAATAAACCCTTGCTTCTTTCCGTGGAGATTTTATTCATTCTTGATTTTGGAATAGGTCATGAAGAGAAACTTGTGTTGATCTGAATGAGCCTACCATGGGTGAGAAACTTGTGAGTTTAAATTTAATAGCAAACCCATGAAAAGCAAGAAAGAGAAGAACCTCTCCTTGTGCTAAGTCTCCCATTGTAGATTCAGTTGATATTCTACTTATGCAGGCACTGCATGGTGGTGATCGTGCACTTCTGTTAGATTGCTTGTACACCCAAGATCAGAAGGTCCTGTCCTACAGACGGGTTTTTTATTGATGGAAGTATGCTTGACGTATATGTATAATAGCAATGCTGATACGATAACATTCTCCTTTTTCAGGTTTTTGCAAATTCAGTCTCTCAATTAAATACATCTAATGTCCTCAAGCTTTTACAATCTCTTGTATCTATAATGCAATCAAGGTAAAGTATTATATGTTCAATCAAGTTAAGGTTGTACTATGAATTACATTGAAGATGCTTGCACTCTGTTTTTTTTTTTTTTCTTACTAATTTAGCTATATGTGAAGTTACCCTTGTTGCTGCTTCTGGTGAAAAGAGTGACGATGTTAACAAAGCCTATTCACTTCCTTTATGGTGGCTCATTGCTTATTTTATACTCTATGATGTGTTATGGCCCTTTTTTTTTTTTTTTTGGAAAAAAAAAAGATGGGGGCTGGGAACTTTTTGTATTTGCTGTCAACCAAATCAGAAATGTACTTTTCCTGAGATTCTGCCACACTTGATTCTAACTCGTCTAAACTGCAAGTTTTCACTTTTTGTAAGCATGGAGAGGGTAATTGCGGTTGTCTTCCATTTAGCTATTAGAAATTTTCATGGTTTCCAAGAAGCTTTGTTATTCTTTTCTTTTTGTCAAACATTAAGTTACTAAATCAGCTTGTAACTTTTGACAATGATGCTAAGCAGCACAGACCAAATTGGCTTAGATAACTATCATTTCTAAGCTCAGAACAAAAACATTAGTTTAACTTGGCCTCTCTTGCTGATTGGTCCTTGGGAATCCATAGGGCCTGATCTTGAACCTTGATGCCGTGATATTTGCAACGTCTCAGGAAAATAAATAAGACAGGGCCTTTTTTATCTTTAGGTTGTTAGATAACGTAGTTTTTCACATATCTGCTATGTTTATAATTCACAGCAGGGGCGCTATAATGGCATGTGCCCTCCCATGGATAAAAAGTTTACTTCTTCAACATGCTAGTGGAATTATGCCCCACGAATCCTCTCTGCTTGCTCTGAACTCTTTATATCAGGTTAGATAGGGAATCTGATGATTATTTTTCCCTAAAAATAAATCATTACTCAGATCTTTTAGTCCCTAACTTCAATCATATACTAATATTCATACTGTGAATGCTTGTTTTTTATGCAGCTTATTGAATCTAGAGTCTCAACTTTTGAATCGGCTCTTCAAATATCAAGTTGCTTAGACTTTCTTTATGCAGGGATTTGTGTTATGTTCAAGTCTGTAGCTGGTGAGAATTTTGCACTTGAATTTAGGACTTGTACAGTATTGTCGAGGAAATTTTCCTTGATATTTTCCTTGTCATCCAAATAAATTAAACTCACCATGCCATTATTACTACAATGCTATATAAATAAATAAATAACTCAAGAAAAAAGAACTAACCATAATTAATCTCCCTATATGGCTATGCTTAATGCTAGATGTAAGACGAGTTCTTTGCTTAATATAGGGCGAAGGTTCCTCTCTTTTGACCGAGCAATTTATTCCAACCATCGTTGTATAAAGTCCCATGTTCAACTGGGACTACTTATAACTTGCCAAGTGCCGGTGAATGCTTGGATTGAGGTTGCTAGTTACAAAAATAGGGGACATTTGCTGCCTATAAATTTCTTTATCATCACTTGACAGTTGAGACTAAAACATTTTAAGCTGTGATTAAGAAGAATGTCGAGCCAAAGTACCTCTCAGACTATTGCACACCAGGCTGGTGAAATGACTGGACAAGCTCAGGTAACAATTCTATTTCTTATCAAAAAACATTAATTTTTGTTTGATGATCTAGATGATAATGTAAGAAATGAAAAATGTAGCAAAAATATATGCACTTGGCTAATTAATTAAATGGGTTCTCTTCATATTTCACATTTATCGATCAATTAATAATGCACCTTGATTGTCTGATCAATATCTTGATTGTTAAATCACCATCCATTAATGTAGTCAGTTCACTTATATATCTGACAACAGAGTATAACACATTACATATTATAGTTTTTTCTTCTACCTATGTTTTTGTTCCAATGAATTGAGTAGCCTGAATATCTTTTCCTTATACAGATAAAGAGGGATGAGATCATGAATCAGGCATCCCACGGCCAGGCCACCAACTCCCAGTCTTCTGATCAGAACCCCACTTATACTTCACAGGCCACTAACTTCCTTCAGCAGGCATCAGCCAATCTCTTTTGTTTCTATTTCAAATTTAAATTTATGTTGCTTTTAGTTAAAATAATCAATCTTTCATGACTTCTCTTCCTTTTTTCGTGATATTAATTAGTGTGAGCAATTTTTTTCAACCTGTTTTAAGTGCAGACAGGAGAGCAAATGAAGCACATGGCACAAGGAGCAGCTGATGCAGTAAAGAACACTTTGGGAATGAACAGTGCTGACAATGATTCCAATGCCCCCAACCCTAACCCCACAGCCAACCCCAGCACCAACCATCCAAGCAACCCATCTCCCAGGAATTGAAGCTTTTCTGCTTTGCCTTGATCATGTTAAACGCTAGAGCGTTAAGTTTGCTACATATTTTATATCTCTGTTTTGGAGATTGTCACTTTTTATTTTTATATTTATTTTTCATTTTGACATGTAAGAGGGATTGCCATCTCTCTTGTTGTCTCTAATGTTCTTTGAATCAGCTTTCTCCTTTCTATTAAGTTTGATTAAGATTATGTCCTCTAAAATTTTTTGGAATAATTAAATTAATGATAATTTAGGTTTCTTAATTAACTTTGAACCAATAAGAGATATAAGATTTGGAGTATAAATAATATATTAATACTTATAAGCTATTCAAGTTCGATTCGAATAAAATTTAATTATTATCGAGTCAAGCTCAAGTAATTCAATTTATTAATCGAGTCGAGTTCAAGCATTTTTATATCTGAGTAGAGTAGCTCGCAAACCTAATCGAGCTTTTTATATTTTAATATATTTTAATTAATAAAATATTTCGAACTCAAGATCGAGCACAAATAATTAAATTTTTATCAAATATAATAATCAAATTTATTTTTATATGTTAATCGAGCTTAATCAAATGAGTTCGAATAGTTTGATTTTTATTTCAAATTGAGTTTGAGTTAAAAAAATAAAATTTAATCGAGTTCAAATTAAATTTTAGACCTCAAATTTTGAATCGAACTCAAATTTAAACTTAATACTGTATTAACTAAACTTGATCGATTGCATCTTTATATGCAACAAAGGAAAATCTTTTCTATACTAATTTTTTTTTTTTTTGATGCTTTCTTTTGCAAAGTACTTTACCTTCAACAAGAATTAAGTTTGACTTCCCAATTTAAGTTATTTTGTTCAAGGAGTTTAAATCTGAAGTATGCTGCTAGAAATTTAAAATCTAAGTTTGATCTTTGAGTTTACACTGTGAGTACAAATATTAATTATTTGAAACCAAAATTTTTGGTCTAAATAGCCAAACTTACATACTTCCATTTTAGTATAAATTACACATTTGGTCATTCTAAATGTTTTTTCTTTTATTTTGATATCCCATTATTAAAAAAGTTACAATTTGATCATTAACATTTATAAAAGGTTTAATATCGAAATAAACCCTTAGACTATACTTCAAAGTGCAAACAAGATCTCAAATTTTTATTATATAAAATTAAGATTATAAACCTTTATCTTATTATAATTATACACATTTTTTAGAAAATTATAATTTTATTCATTGAATCTTAAAATTAGATGAATAACGTCTAATTGATAAAGTTTTTAAAATAGTATTCACTTAAATATTTGTTGTTTGGCCTATCCAAATAAATTTAAGTAAAAATTTTTTACAAATTAAATTATTCAATTAAAAAATTTAAACAAAAAAATTAGATATTTTATATCATTAAAGTTCTAATTATAATAAAATAAAATAAAGTTTTTAATTGTGTGCAATAAAATATTAAGAATTTATTTGCATTTAAAATAGAATTTTAGGACTTCCTTGTATATTTTGCTTTTATAAAATTGTTTTTCATCCGATTGTTAGAAATTAAGAGCATCTCGGCGTGACATTGCCAACTTGTCATGTAATTTATCATATATGTTGTAGCATTATCACGTTATTTAATATTTTATGTGATATTATCGATATAATATTATAAATTAAAAAATAAAAAAAGATAAATTTTGATTATTTCATTTTTATATCTTTTTATTTTAAGTAATTAATTTTAAAATTTTAATAATTTGATCATCAATGTTTAAAAAATTATTAATATTTTAATATCCATTGTTAACTTCTTACTATTGACACAACTTTATAATAATTTAATCATTTACATTTGTAAAATTTAATTTAATACATTATTTTATAATTTCTCTTTTTTATAATTTTTAACATTTTATTGCATAAAATTAAAATTATAAATTTTTATTATAATTATAACCTTAACATTAAAAATTATATCATATTTCATTTAATTTTTTTATTGGTTGAAGTAATTCATAAAAAATATTTATTTGAGTTTATTTCGTAAGCTGGATGACGAATACTTAAGTAATATTATTTTAATAATTTTAGCAATGGGATATAATTATTTATTTTTAAAAATTTAAAGGATATAATTATAATAAAATAAAAATATTTATAATTATAATTTAAAAATATAGTGAACAATAAAAATCATTTTTATCAATACAAAAATTTCTTCGCATCCCTACTTATATTTGTATTTATATGTATATATTATAAATAAATATAACGTTTTTGTTTTGTGTACTATTAATTTTCATAATTATAGTTTTACGTATTATAGGAAATTTAAAGTTTTTAAAACAAAAATGCTAAAATTAAATTAGTTTTTAGAAAATTTAAGAGTAAATTATTTTCATAATCTCTAAATTTAAAAGTAAATATCATTTTGATCCTTAAATATTAAAAAGTAAACTATTGATACTTATAATTTTATGGTTCTATTAATAAAAACGTTAATGTAACCATTAAATGTCGGCTTTTAACTTATTATTAAGTCAAAGATAAAATTACAAAAAAAAATAATGATAAATTTTTTTATTTAAACTAGTAATTTTGTTAATTATATAAAATAAAATTATTTTTATCCTTAATTTTGTTAGTAAATATATTTTTTAGTTTAATTTGAGGATATGAAAAAGAAGTTTGTATTTTAAAAATGAAAAATACCTATTTTAAAAAAATTATTTATTATTTTTAAAAAATAAAATTAGACTATACATCATCATAATTCTTTTTTGTGTATTTGTCATTTATTTTACAATATTTTATCATCATATAATAATTCTTAAAAAATCAAGCTCTTCTAGTTATAAAATATTAATACATAATTTTTAATGAAATATTATAAATTTAACACTATCATTTATTAATAAAAAAATTACAAATTTAATTACTTAAATTACAACTAGAGATTTTCATGAAGCAAGTCAAACTTAGAAAGACATTTTTAAATCTCACTTAAGGTCTAGTTTGATTCATCAATTAAATTTTTGAGTAGGCCCATTTTACTATTAAAATTTAAAATAATATTTTTATATTAATATTTTAAATATATTTTAAAATTTAAATTAAATAAAAATATAAATATTTTCTTGATAAAATAATTTAAAAAAGTAATGCCTAAACTTTCAAAATTATGTTTAAAATTCAATTTGAGTTAAGTTTAACTTGTGAATATGGTTTACAATTCAATTTATGAGTAAGTTTAATTGCAACTTAACAAATCTTTTCAAAAAATTTTAAAAATATTAATTGATATAAAAATTAGCATCACAATAATAATAATAATAATAATAATAATAATAATAATAATAAAGATATATAAGAATTGATATCTATAAAAATAAATTAAAAAATGAATTTTATCAAATTTGAATTTCTTTTATAATTATTTTATCTCTTAATCTCAAATTTATAATATTATTGATCTATTTCTTACATTGTCATTTTTCTTTTTATTTTTTATTTAAGTTGATTAAATTGATCGGATGACTGTTTCGTTATAATCATAAAATATAAAATTAATATATTATTTTTTTAAAATTTAAAAACCAAAATGATATTCACTCTAAAATTTAGAGATCATACAGGTAATTTATCCAAAATTTTGTTATTAGTCAAATACTTTTTCTTTTTGAGAAAAGAAAAAATCAAGTGAAATACTATAAACACTTTAAGCAGCAGGAGCTGTAAAATTAGTTTTGTAAAGACCATCATCAAAAAGAAAAAAAAAGAAAGTTAAAAGACACTGACGGATCGCAGGAAATGATTTCTTGAATAAGAAATCCAACGGTCTTGATTTTATGGTTGTACGCAAAATAAATTACAACTGACTGTAGTCTAACCCTTTCATACTTTCCTATCCCACGAGATCCTATCACCTTCCTAACTGTATAAATAAAATATTAATACTTATAAATTATTTGAATTTAATTTAAATAAAATTAAAATTTGATTCAATTATTATTGAATTAAATTTAAATTTAAATAATTCAATTCATGTTTCAAGTTAAATACAAATATTTTTATATTTGATTGGTATAATTTATAAATTTAATTAAATTTTTATATTTAAATATATTTTTATTATTTTAATTAATAAAATATTTAAAATTCAAATTTAAATACAAATAATTAAAATTTTATCAAATATAAAAATTAAATTTATTTTTATTTATTAATTAAATTTCATTAAACAATCCAAATAACTCAATTTTTATTTAAATTAAACTCAAATTAAAATAATTAAATTAAATTAAATTCAAACTAAATTTTGAATCTTAAATTTTAAATTAAACTTAAACTAAAACTTAATATTATATTTAACTCGAGCTCAATTTATTATACTTCAACCATCCCGAACAAAAAATCTGTTTCAAAGAGGCGAAAATCTTCTAAAGATCTTTCTTAAAGAGACAGAAACAGATATTTTATTGAGAAATGAAAATTTATTTATTTATTTATTTTGGGTTGTACTATATTGATAAAGAGAATGTCTTTAACATGTGTGAAAATGTCTGAGGATGTTTGGTTAACTTGTCTTATGCATGCATTGTCCACTGAAACTGAAGAGGTTATGGGTCTTCTTCTTGGGGATGTTGAGGTTTGTCATTTTTTTTTTCTCTTATATATATTTTACATAAAACCCACCGCACAAAATCCAATCTTTTTTTTAATTTTAAATTATGGGTTTATTTTGTAATGTACTTTGTATATGATGCTGATGTTGTTTGGCGGATTAGTGTTGAGATTCTTTGTATTTTTTGAATTGTTAACTGGAATGGGTTCTTGGATTTTTTTTCAAAATTTAATCATATTCTTCCAAATTGTATTCTTTTTTATTTATATGCTGTGGGTTATACTTGAATTCAAGCTTTATCCTTTTGCTTTGTTTTTACACATTTGTCTGCTTATAGTGAGAGCAGAATTAAAATTGCAAATATTATGCTTTTTATTTGTTTATTTATATGTTGCA